GGTTAGATACACTATCGATTCATCAATGGTGCACAACGTACAAGTACACAGACGCGCGGAGGTTAGATCCACTATCCACTATCGATTCATCAATAGTGCACAACGTACAAGTACACAGACGCGCAGAGGTTAGATCCACTATCCACTATCGATTCATCAATAGTGCACAACGTACAAGTACACAGACGCGCAGAGGTTAGATCCACTATCCACTATCGATTCATCAATGGTGCACAACGTACTAGTACACAGATGCGCGGAGGTTAGATCCACTATCCACTATCGATTCATCAATGGTGCACAACGTACAAGCACACAGACGCGCGGAGGTTAGATCATCGATCCACTATCGATTCATCAATGATGCACAACGTACAAGTACACAGACGCGCGGAGGTTAGATCATCGATCCACTATCGATTCATCAATGGTGCACAACGTACAAGTACACAGACGCGCGGAGGTTAGATCATCGATCCACTATCGATTCATCAATGATGCACAAGTTACAACGTACAAGCACACAGACGCGCGGAGGTTAGACGCCACCATCGAGTTATCACTGATGGCACACTTACTACGGACATATGAAGTTAAGCTGCTAACTGAGTTTACTGTGATGTTATCATGGCTATCACTAACTGAGAAGTTATTAGTAACCGTTACTCCAACAGGAAAAAAAATTTCATGTTAGATTCAGAGTTCATATTGAGTCATGAATCATTAGTTTATTGAGTGATTGCTAGCGTGGATGAGCGAGCGAGGGCCATGCTGCTACTCACTGCAAGACGTAGTTCCAGCTGAAGCTTGGCCATGTCTTCGCTGGTGATTGTCACGTCTGTCGCATCGTACTCCTGACCGGCGTTCTTCAACTGGTTCTCCCAGCCACCGGTACCCCAGCCTGCGCAAGACGGCAAACTCCGATTAAATTTAATTAAACCAACCCGCCCGGTCGCACGCATGTGCACACACACACACCCACGCACGCACGCACGCACGCACGCACGCACGCACGCACGCACACGCACCCGCACGTGCGCGCACGCACGCACGCACGCACACACACACACACACGCAGTGAAAAAAATACACGGGGGCTCGGGGCGATATAGCCCCCGAAATGCCCAAAAGAGCCCTTGTAAATTTGCATAGAGTTCAATGCAAACCAAATTTTAGAGTGCTAAATAAATTTTTTCCCAGCACACACGCACGCACGGACGCACACGCACACACGGGTGCACGCACCTCTGTTTGTGAAGACTCCCTTCTTCTCGTTCTCGTACTCCTCCCACGCGGCCTTCCTCTCCTCCTCGGTGAGGCCCTCGTCCGGCCGGTTCTCGAGCAGCGAGTCGTGCTCGTGGTACGTGACGATCCAGCGCTTGAAGTTCTGCAGCAGCTCTGCCAACCAGCATACCTGAGTGACGTCCAACATACCTGTGTGATGGATGCCTAGCTTTCATGAGTGCACCGAGACAAGTGATTGACAATACCAGATGTGATCAAGATGGACATGAGATGAATATGCAAAATATGAAGGAATGATATAATTTCCAGTGAATAATTATAGAAATTATCGTTATTACGTTTATAGTGAAGTAAAAATTGTAGAAACTATAACAGCCCTTGAAAGTCCTTAAATTTTGTCCTTTGTCGTTGAAAGTCCTTAATTTTTCACTTTCTCATTGATAATTCCTTGGAAATATGTCCAAGTCCTTATTTTATGTCTAATGTACTGGAATTTTACATTTTTGACCTGAAATAAAGAGCAAATCTTCATTGCTGGTTATCTGACTGACCCTATTCGAAGTCTTCGAAAAAAATGTTAAATTTAATCCAAAAATCACATGTCATTGTCTACTAATGTACTCTACCAAAGTAGTTTGTTTTGTTCCAAATTTTTACGTGCAGGTGGTGTAGCGGTCTAGACTATAAGTTCGTCATTTTAATATTTATTTATTACTCACTGTTCATATTTTGCTACACAATTGTGTCAATTTAGTGTGTAATTTGTCTATATGAAGATACACTTGAGTAATAAATCAAACATTATTATAATACTCAGCATATATAGTTACGATCCCTGTCCATGCCACCCATGACTAAAAAGAGAACCATGACGAAAATAGACTAGTTTGAGCAGATACTGTTCTGTGAATTTTGGATTAAATTTAATAGTATTTGTTATTTGTTATTATTTGTAAAGATTTGGGACAAGGAGAATATGTTGCTTAATGGTTTATTCCATGGGTTGGAGGCTGAAGAAGGTCTTTACCGTTTCACCAGCTCAGCAAATACTATTATAAAGAAATTTATAGAGAAAGGATTGCTCTCATTGAATTAGGGTGTAAAACAACCATTGTTTACTTTATATATGAATCTAAGGTATATATTATGACTCTAAAATGCTAAAACTACTTGTCACAGATTGTCCTTGAAAAATACATATGTCCTCGAAATGTCCCTGAAGTCTTTGAAAACATAATTCACACTTGTGGGAATCATTTTCTGAGTACCTAGCAGTAATACTGTACCATATAGAATCAACCATCACGAAAAACCAAGAAAAAACAATAAAACCATTTCATTCAATATCTGTTATTCTATCTATTTCTATCTATCTATATCTGATATATGTCTATCTATTTATATGGTACTTTAATCTATATCCTATCAGGTTATATTCTCTCGGGAATAAGTAATAGCTGGTTTTCAGCCGAGAAAGAGAAAAATTGCGAGAGAGTATGTGCGTGCGTGAGTGCGTGAAAAGAAATATTGCGAGAGAGACAGTGTGTGTGTGTGAGAGAGGGAGGGTGAGAGTCACGGAGAGGGAGAGGGTAAGAGTGAGAGTCACGGAGAGAGAGAGAGGGAGAGGGTGAGAGTCACGGAGAGAGAGAGGGTGAGAGTCACGGAGAGGGAGAGGGTGAGAGTCACGGAGAAGGGGTTGAAGAGTCACGAAAGGGAGAGGGTGAGCGTCACGGAGAGGGCGGAGTGAGAGTCACGGAGGAGAGAGAGAGGGTGAGCAGTCAGGAGAGGGACGAGGAGGGTGAGAGTCACGGAGACGCGGAGAGAGGGAGAGGGAGAGGGTGAGAGTCACGCGAAGAGGGAGAGGGAGGGTGAGAGTCACGGAGAGAGAGGAGGGTGAGAGCACGGAGAGAGAGGAGGGTGAGCTAGCACGGAGAGAGGAGAGGGAGAGAGTCACGGAGGAGGGAGAGGGTGAGAGTCACGGAGAGGGAGACGGTGAGCGTCACGGCGAGGGAGAGGGGACAGTCACGGGAGAGGGAGAGGGAGAAGTCACGGAGAGGGAGAGGGAGGGTGAGAGTCACGGAGAAGGAGAGGGTGAGAGTCCAGCGGAGATGGAGAGGGTGAGAGTCACGAGAAGGGAGAGGGGTTGAGAGTCACGGAAAGGGAGATCGAGGTGAGCGGGAAGGCGGCGAAGTAACTATATTAGAGAGAATTTGTGCATCCGTTCGCTGTGTGTGTGCCGTTTGTGGCCGTACGTGAGTATTGTCTGTGCGTGTGTACGCGCATGCCGTGTGTACTTGGCATGCGTGTGCACATCTCGCAGTCTGCATTCATTCCTCCCTCCGTCGCCTCGATCTACCGCTTTCTCTCTGCTTTCATTGCCTCTTCCCCTCTCACTCCGTTCACCTTAGTATTTCCCTCCCCCTCCTCAGCGTAGTATAGTACGCCCACGCAGGCAGGTGCACGGTGAATAAGTTTTAGCATGCCAAATGGCCGTTTTCCATCTCACTTTTTCCGGCGCCCAAAATCAGCAAAATATGATTATACGGCTATAATACGCGTTTTTATTACAATCACCCAAACACACATACACATCCACTAAGGGACGCGCACGACGCGGGCGTGGTCGCACGCACCCGTGCGCGTGTATTATAGCGTAAATTCCCATTTTGTGCCTCGGGGAGTGAAAAAGTTTCGGCTGAAATACGGTCATTTTGCTGGCAGAGTTTTTCCATGCTTGACTGGTCGCTGGGCGATACCATCCGCGAGAGGAGTAATGAATAAAGTAAGGAATAATACTTTTATTCACTGTTACTGTTTTACTGTTTTACTGTTACTGTTTACTGTTACTGTTATTAATGCTTACTGTCTGACACAGCAGATGAAAGGTCAGCATAAAAACCGCATTGTTTGTTATTATTATTAAATCTTTATTGCATGTAATTCAACTACAAATACATGTACTGAAGACAGTCTTTTTAATGGAGAAAAATTCTGGACGAATGCAATGGTGTTGAGCAGTTAAAATAATAAACTTGAGTGATACAGCTAGTACATTGTGTTGATACAAAGCTTCACATATTGTGACAGGACTGTGACTGAAATCTACGTGAATGACAATATATGAACGGCTATTGTGTACGTCGGTAAGTTAGATACAGATAATGTTGACCAAACAAGAGTAGGTTACAACCCTAACGCCTTCCTTGTTGGTTACATTTTGTATCTATTCGGTAATGGCGAGATATAGCGGCTGTTTAAATCTGCTGTCCGCACTCGTGTAAAACAACAATTTTTTTACTTTATACATATATGAATCTAAGGTAGATATGATGACTGCTAAAAAGCTAAACTACTTGTCACAGATTGTTGCTTGAAATGTCATTCACGCACTTTTGTGGAATTATATATTTTAAGGTAATCTTGTAAATTTTTTGGCATTGTTATGATTATGATGTTGCCAAAGTGAGGCAGAAGAAAATATCATAGGATACTTACGAATGTATAACAGAAAAAAAGCAGACAAAAATAAATGCATTACATTACTTTATACAATACACCCAAAGGCCTTTATTAATTTATGATTAACTTTTATTTTAAAATACGATGTACTATATATATATGTCTTTTTGATGGCATTGGTGATCCCAGAAGCAATTCCACATATTATAACTGCGCACGCTCCTAATCTCAACGCGCGTCAACGTGAAACATTAAAACGTTCAAAATAGTACGATGAATAATTGACTGTTGATATAATTGCGTGGCAGTAGAGTAAGATTCAGAGGCATTGAGCGCCCACGCGTCTGACTTTGTGCTCGTATCTAGATCTGAAGCAGTACATAACATGGACTGTCGCCTGTGGGTCGCACTGTCGGCATGTGCGCCACGTTGAAACGATGCACTGGGGCTGCGATGGCTGTGGAACACCACAGACACGTTCCTCTGCTGTGGACACCGGCAGACGACGTTCCTGCTGTGGAACACTGCGGACAACGTTCCTGCTGTGGAACCTGCGAGCACGTTTCCTGCCGTGGAACACGTTCCTGCTGTGGAACAACCGCAAGTACACGTCCCTGCTGTTGGACACACGGACAGCGTTCCCTGCCGTGGAACCACCGCAGAACGCGGTTTCCGTCTGTGGAGACACCCTGCGGACACGTTCCTGCTGTGGACAGCACTGCGGACGACGTTTCCTGCGTGGAGACCCGGGCCGTCGCGAACACGCGACACGTCCGCTCGCTGCTTGGCCACCCAGACACGTCTGTGGTGGAACACGCGCGGACACGTTCGCTGGAACAGCGAATCCGTGCTGAAGCAACACGGACAACTTCCTGCCATCGGAAGCACGGCGGACACTTCATGCTGTGGAACACTGCACGACCGTTCGCTGCCGTGGAAAGCACCGCGGACACGGTTCCTGCTGTGGAACACCACAGACCCGTTCCTAGCTGTGGATCACTGCAAGACACGTTCGCTGCTGTAGACCTGTGGAACACCGCGGACACGTTCCTGCTGTGGAACACCGCGGACACGTTCCTGCTGTGGAACACCGCAGACACGTTCCTGCTGTGGAACACTGCGGACACGTTCCTGCTGTGGAACACTGCGGACACGTTCCTGCACGTTCCTGCTGTGAGAACAACACCGCTTGCCACCGCGTACGATTCGCTATTATTATACATAAACACACACAGTACTCGCACACTACATGTACCATGTACTCTACACGTACACTTGCGATTCATAACTCCCGCGACTTCAAGCCACCTCAAGCAGACGAAAAATGCGACGGCCATGTTGAGCGTCCGTCGCGAGATCGCCATGGCGACGGCGCGACGAAGCACTCGGTTGTGCCGATTCTGTGCACATGTGACAACATCGAGACAAATTATAATATCAATACACCTGCTCGTGGATAGAGGGCGCCACGTGTCAGCAATCGATTTGAAGCTGCTCAATTACGGACACACATCATTGCAGTGTGACCATAAACAAGGATTACAAAGTCTCCTCTCCTAACCAACGACTAGTGGGCGTCTCAGACAGAGCCAACGTTACAACATCTGCCTCCATTTTTGTAACTTTACTTAACGTTAATTTACTATCTTCGCAACAAGATGCGATGATGAAAAAACGAGAAAACGATGCCGAAAAAAAACAGCATTTTCATTTGCTTTTCGTTAAAGGTGGAGGAAAATCAGGATGCAAACGTTGTCGTTAACGCAACCTGGTAATGACGACATGGACACGTGAATGAGCAATTCGCTACATGCGCGTTGGCATGACAACCAGCCAGTCGTCGCTGAAGCTAACACAAGCCAACCACAGCATAATCCACATCACGTCGTTTCACTCGCCATCAATGATTCGATACACACAGAAAAAACGCTTGTTCGATACACACACAAATGTCGCTTACACGTACAAAACACGCACTCACACGAAAGCGCTTCGATTCAAGACGCGGCGTTACGTTACATTAAATCTGGATTACATCAAGGTAACAGTGGTGATCGCACGTACAGATGCAGACGATGCGACGTGCCATATCGCTCGCACGTACCTCCATCTTTACATGTACAAGAGGCGACCGGTCGTGTCCGCGCTTACACTGCTTTATAATGCGACACGACCTCGCGACAGTGCTATAGCACCTCAACTCGTCCACGCAGCAGTCGTTCCGCCTGTATATCTGCGAGCGACATTACTGCTTTTGAACGCGAAAGTTACACGAAGGTCACCAGAGTTTCAACATGCGAGTAGCAACAGTACTAGTCCTATTCAAGCTTGACCTTATTTGGATATGTGAATCAGGTCCTACGACATGGCTCTAGAGAAGGACAGGGTCTAACTATTACGATTAACTGTAACATTGACTTCATTATCGGTAGCCTGACCGTGGCTGCAAGTCAAACGCGTAGAGAATTCACGCTTGGATACTTTGCAATAGTACGGGCACAAAACTCTTTTCAGACACTTCAAAAACATCAGTGAAAATCATGACGGCTTATTCATTGTAAAACGACTCAATTGTCGGTGGGCTACAACACGAACAGGATCACTGACGTCAACTAGAATGCTGTACTGGATAAGATGACCTAGTTGGACAGTACTACTAGTTTCTTCGCTTGACAGGCCAATACAAAACGACAACTCGCTGTCGTAGCATACACAAGTTATAGTTACTAGTTTACGCATGTACGCACCTATACATGTAACTTACAATGTACACATTGGTTATGGGAGCAGCGAATGCGCGTGACATGCGCGTGGACGACGGCGACTGTGCAACGCTAACGTGCCAACACGCTCACTGTATGTCACGCTCATCACGACGCATCGTTAACGTCGTCATGGCAACGTTGCACGACGCAATGATCCCGGGAGTGCTCCCCAAGTGGAGGCTGAGGAATGGACAGACGCTTAATGCGAATCGCGAATCGACTCGCAGGTTAAAGGTAACGGCAGAGGAAGGGCTAGACAGGGCAATGAGTAGGAGCAGACATTTTATGGATCAACGTTGCGTAAGGTCGGACGGCGGCGAGAAACGACGTTCGTCAGTCCTGCCTGGGGTCTTGACAATCCCTGTCTCGATCATCCGAGCCACGAACCAACCCTCTCCGGCCGCATTCCAACCCTCTCCGGCCGCGCACCAAGCCTCTGCAGCCTGTAGTCCATCCTCTCCGGCCTAATCGTCAAGCTCCGTGACGGTCAGCGTGGCCGGACCTAATCGTCCGTCCTAACGCCTCGCTGCTGCGGCCGCCGCCGATGGCTGGACCTAATGCGTCCGTTCCTTGACCGCTTCGCTGGCGGCGGCCCGGTGGGCCGGGGACCCTAATCGTCCGTCCTTACGCCTCGCTGCTGCGGCCGCCGTGGCCGGACCTAATCGTCCGTCCTTACGCCTCGCTGCGGCCGCCGCCGTGGCCGGACCTAATCGTCAAGCTCCGTGATGGTCAGCGTGCCGACCTTGAGAGTCTTCCCGTCGGCCGAGCGCTCGGGGACGGGAACGCCGGACGTCGACGGCTGAACGCCCTCACCGGCGGGCTTCGCTGCGGACGTGGCCTGCGACTGCTGCAGCCGGTTCAGGTAGGACTGCGTGAGATGATTCATCATGTCCTGGTTGAACGGCGCTCGAGTGTTGTCTGAAACGGAGGGGACACAGGAGAGAAGTTCAAGTGTTGTCGACACAGGAACGAAGACGGCGCTTATATACTTTATAGACCAGTGGTTCTTAACCTTTTTTGAGTCATGGACCCCTTTGAGAATCTGGTGAAAGCTATGGATCCCTCACCAGAAAAATGCACATAAGCATATAAACACAATATTTTGCATGGGGTTCACAGACCCCCTGAAGTCCATCCACGGACCCTGACGGGGTCCATGGAGCACAGGTTAAGAACCACTGATATAGACCCTCACTAAATAAATTATCACTATTGTTATAATAGAACTGTCACCAGACGTCAGCACTGTCGTCACCACGCCCAGCAACACACCCTCCCCTCCTCGCCCGCATCGTAACTAAGCAAGCAGGGTGAGGAATAAGGGAAACCCTACACTGCGCAGCCCTGCTGAAACGATCTACGTCTCCCCGAGTACTACTGTCTTCGCTGCCCCCGACCCTAACTCTATTAAGCAGTAATTATATATATTTCATTTAGCCTATATGATAATCGTTATATGTAATAGGTGGCCCAGCAAGTTTCCAGCTGCTGTACATAGGGAGACAAAGACACCGACTGATCTCAGTGATCGCATGATACGCAACTTACTGACGAATTCTGCAGAAAATGACACAAATATACTCGATTCACATAGAACGATAGGTTTCATTCGACGACGCGCGAGCTACGACATCGTCGTAATTCACGCGTTGACGCTCGTAATTCACGTGTCGCTTCTAGAAATCACGAGAAGGCGGAAAGAAAGGCGCCCCGCGCGCGTGAAACCTTTTATTATTATTAGTAAATCTTTATTGCATGAATTCAGATACAAATACATGTACTGACGACAGTTTTTTTCACGGAGAAAAAATCTGATAAAAGTAATAGTTGAGTACAGAACCTAGCAATAGCAACAGAACCTACCTGACTGTGCGCCGCTAGGCTGGGGGTAGCCAGCTGACGATCCGCTCTGGTTCCTCATGATGTTGTACAACTGCTGGTACCTAGCCTGCAACACACACCGAGTCCCCCGAGGGTCTGTTTGTTGTTAGAAACATCACACAGCAGGGAAAAAAAAAAAACTTCACGGCGAGCTCTTCAAAGTCTGTTGCCGAAAAAAGTACTCTCGTCAAAAATTTTACGATGCCATTTTGAGCCGCACGGGAGCGATTTCGGAGGTTTGAAGAGCGAATTGCTCGTCGCTCCCGCAAATATTTTACCCAGACACTCAGCGAACTCTAAAATGTCACAACTTTTACGTTAAGCGTTTGACGTGCAACACTTCTGACAATTTAGACTTACGACAGTCTTCTTACAGCCACAAACAGAACTTTACACGATAGTTACAATCGTCTACTTACTAGCCACCCCCCCGCAACAGAACTTACAACGATAGTACGATGATTCTTACTTCAGTCCACAACAGAACTTACACGAGTAGTTACGATTGTCTACTTACAGCCACCTGACTGCAAATCATCTATGCTAAGACAGTAACGCAGTTGGGTGTCTTTCATCTTCGCGATCGCCTAGTTTCATCAAAACTAGATCTCCGATCTGCATAAGTCAGACACTGAAGTGGGATAGCGGAGCAGATATGTAACAATCCATTGGCCTACTTCCATTTCGTTACTCTCAGAATCGCAAGATTCCCATTCGCCTAGCCTACTCCCATATGCACTTGTATTTTCTATTCTTTGTCAAGTTTTTTCTCATTATTTGTATATGTTTTCTTCTCTTCCGCTAGTTCATGTATGCAATTCAAAACCATACTCTTATATATTATAAAACATTATTTAGATGAACAAAACCGATCGTAACGAAATTGGAATGGGGTACGATTTTGAGCGTAGACGAACTTCGGAGTAGTGCGAAATGTCGGTGTAGGCCAACTGGAATTTTGTTGTAGGCAAATAGTAGGCCAACGGGGAAAAAAATCAGGGAGTGGTACGCACCTCTGCCTGCCTGCCTGCTGCGATCCTGGTTCATGCGCATCTGCTGCTGCATCTGGCTGACGCGACGCAGGTGCTCCTGCTGCTGCTGGAAGTACTGCTGTCGCTTGAGCAGCTCGTGTCTACGCACTTGCTGCATCAGCTTCACTCGCTGCTGCAGCAACACCTGCAGGTCAACTTCGCTCGCCTGCGGTTCTACAACACAGAGGCGCAGAGGTTAGATACACTATCGATTCATCAATGATGCACAACGTACTAGTACACAGACGCGGCGTCGGAGTTAATCATCGATCCACTATCGATTCATTCAATGAGAGCCACAAGCTTACAACTAACAAGCACCACAGACCGCGGAGGTTAGAACCACCATCAATGTAATCACTGGTCACGAAACAATTCACCATTCGACTTATTACCGACATATGAAGTATAAGTTGGTTAACTGAGTTTACTCTGATTTATGATGCGATCATAACTAGAAGTTATAGTAACCGCTACTCCAACAGGAAAAAAATTTCATGTTAGATCAGAGTTCAGATTGATCATGAATCATTAGTTGATTGAGTATTCCTATGCGTGATTATGAGCCCGAGCGATCAGCGACATGCTGCTACTTCACTGCAAGACGTATTCATGCATGAAGCTTGCCATATCTTCGCTGTTGATTGTCACAGTCTGTCGCATCTACTCACTGACCGGCGTTCTTCAACTGGTTCTCCCAACCACAAGGGCCCCCAGCTTGCGCAAGACGGCCAAACTCGATTCAAATTTTAATTAAACAACGCCACGTCAACTACCGGCCGGTCGCACGCGTGCCACACACACACCCGCCACGCACGCCGACCACCCATGCACGCACCACACGCACCCGCACCACGCAACGCGACGCACTGCACCACGCACCACCAGCACGCACGCACGCACGCACGCACGCACATACACACACGCAGTCTGAAAATAAATTCACGGCGAGCTCGGGCGATATAGCCCCTCGAAATGCCAAAAAGACGCCCTTGTAAATTTGATAGAGCTTCAATGAAACCAAATTTAGAAGTGCTTAATAAATTTTTTATCCCCAGCACACGCACTGCCGACGGCGCACACGCACACACGGTGCACGCACCTCGTTTGTGAAGTACTCCCTTTCTTCTCGTCTCCTACTCTCCACGCGGGCCTTCCTCTCCTCCTCTTGGTGATGTGACCCTCGCGATCTTTTCTCGAGCCAGCAGTCTGTGTCGTGACGGTACGTGTGACGATCCCAGCGCTTAAGTTCTGCACAGCTCTCGCAGCAGATGTCGGTCCTGTCACACAACAGACAGAGAGAGAGGAGAGATAAGCATGTCAGTGGACAATCACATAGAAGCGTGCGCAATCCTGTCACAGAGATAATCAGTCCAGTGTCAACGCTGTGACAACCGCAGAGCCTGAAGCGGGTCCTGCCACACGCAAATCACAGAGAGAGGATGGACAAGCAACTCGTGTCGACAACCGCAGAGCGCGGGCACGACAACGCCACATAACCAGAGCAAATCAATTATAAAATAAATAAGAAATCTATGTATAATAATATGTATTTTAACGCACATATGCACACACGCACGGTACGCTCGACGACACGCGACTACGCGCCGCACAACACATGCCCACAGACACACACACGCATAGCTGCAAGCATGACCACCACCGTCCATGGCACACTCGCATGCACACGATGATGAATAAACACCTTTACATTCTGCATACTTAAACATTCAAATGCAAATCACATTTACATAAAAGCAACAAATTGCCTATCGCTGTATGCTGCGAACTGAGCATGTAAGCTAGACCACACCTTGGGCACCATCGGACGTGGCAACTTAAATTGAATCGTGCCAATTAAGCAGCTAACAGCTTCGACAATAGCATGATACCACGACAAACACTTCACCTTGCTATCATCGCATCAAAACGTTGGTGCAATCTAAGCAGCTAACACTCACACCTATTAATACCATGGCAAACCTCACCTTGTCTACCACCATCTATACGTGGCAATCCTAAGCAGCTACACTCATCACCAGCGTAACCATGACAAACCTCACCTGGACACCATCAAATCGTGCAATCTAAGCAGCATAACACTCGACACCAGGTAAACCACCGCCAAACCTTCACCTGGCACATCGTGTTACGGTCCTTTCTTCGCTGCCTCTGGGTCGTCCGTCCGGAATCTGTAACAGCTCTTTAATCAGAGAAGAGACAGTGTCGTCACCTGCCTCCTCTCAGCACACGGCTACTAGCCGACTTGCTCGTCCACCTGTCTCGATCATAGATCTTCTCTCCATCGTACCCTTCGAGCGGTCAGACGCACGTTACACACGCCGTTACCATGCCCGCAGCAGATCTAGTCGCACGGTCTAACACACGCGTATCACAATAATTAACTCATTTTTCAATTTTCCAACACACGGTTTACACGGTTACATGTGTGGCCGATGACGTCATATTTGACATTTTTGAACAATCTGTTAGTTTCTGCCATCAAATTAGTAGTTCGAGATCACGTAGCTGACCGATGTTTTTGCTAGGGAGGGCGTCCGCAATGCACACGGAAAATTTTTTCATTCTGAGATGCAATTTCCTGCATCTGGGCTGTCAAAAATGACAATAAATATGGCAAATAAATTACAATAATTGACCAAAAAAAAAAAAAATTTCTATCACAGTCAAAATTCTAGTTTGAACATAAACCTGGTCGTAGTGGTGCCAAAGGAATAGAAATCGTATAAAATACGGTATAAATCGTAGTGCGTGGCATCTGCACAGGGTGTTACCACTGCGCCAGTACACACGCGTTAACCTATCAAAGGTGACAAGCGTTACCATGTGTGCACACAGACGTTAAAACACAGATTAACACCAACATCAGGACTCGTCCAGCATATATGGCAGCGTGTTGACATTTGTTATATCACAGAGAGCATTTACATCTAGATCCGTCACCAACTGGAAGCACTGCACAATAACGAACAATCTTCTCGATCATTGCAGAAACAACGACTGCAAGTTAAAACCCCATCTGATTTTCATGCTCAGCGCATATTTCATACTAACAGACGGAACCATGCACAATTTCAGTTTATCACATCCCGATAAACTTCCAGATGCGCGTCACGTTACGCGTGCGATCATTTCACAAACGAACGCCGCTGGTTAAATACACTTGGGGTCGGTGGTCAACGAACCCAATGAGACTGATCGCTCCCGTCACACACACCCTGCGAGAATCGATAAGTACACCGGCTTCGTCTGTCCAGCTAGGTAGAGACTGAAGTCGCTGCACGTCCGCGTCCGGGTTCACGAGCCGTCGAAGATTATCACCGTTCGCGCGATAGGGGTCACGCCCATTGAGGCCGGCCTTCGTCGAATCAGGAACAAAACCCCTGAACGAAGAACAACGAACGAGATTTCAATCGTGAATCATGCGATCGATCGGTGGGCAAACCACAATTAATCCGCCGGTCGGCCATCCTTAAAAAATTATTATGTTTGTGTCTCGAGCCGACCACGAAAATCAGCCGCCGACCCAAAGATTTTTTGCATTATTTTGGGTCATATTTTTTTTAAACATTTTTTACAGTTAAGGACTGATAACACAAAGCATGTTGTCAAACATGAAATCAGACTTAAAACAAACTATTCTGCCACACAAAAAAAATATACCTAACCTACCTACCCACTTAAAAAATGAAAGTCGGAGACAGCAAACAGCATTTTTTAGATGGCCCGATCGTTCGACGGTGGCAAAGGTGATGCTGAGGCGCAGTATTAACTAAGGAACTAAATTATCTAATGAATGGCGACCGGCAAAGCCGGAGATAAGCTGACAAGTGACTCACTCCTGTTCTCCTCATCGTTGACACGGGCCGCCAGCCGCGCCATCAGCGACGTGACCGTCCCATGCGAAGTAGTCAAATTTCACATCGCCACGTTCCGATAAATATTCCTTCTGTATATGGCTCCGGCCGTTCCGGATGCGGACGCCCTTCCTCATCCGTCGCCGCGCAGCAGCCGCCGCCTCTCTCTTGTGCGCTTGTCGTTCTTATCTGTCGAATGCACTGAGAAATGTGTTCGATCATGTTCAGCCGACAGGAGCTGTGACTGAACAACAGCCTGCACGACCGGGACGAGAGACGCTGGTTCGATCACGCCATCTAAATCCTCTT